ACAAATTTTGAGTGAATAATCAGCACCGAAAATACATCACGATATTCTCAGAATTGAGGTCGCTCCAGGAAGAACTTCAACACAGTTCACAGATGAAGATAAAAGATTTACTATTATATACCAAGAACGAGAAAACCCTAAATTTTTAAAACAAAGTCACAAGGAAATCAATTAAGAATTACCATACAAGAGAGTTTACATGTAGATTCACATAGGTTTGTAGTAATATATGTCGATAGAATGGCAATTCAGTCACGAATACCGGAATGAAGCCGCCTCGCCGAGTCTCTCTTTGTGCCGCTGCCTCGCCGCTCGCCGCTCGTCAGGTCTCCCTCTCTTTCTGAGCGAAAAGCGTTTATGACGTTGTGTAACTGTGTTTTAGTTTTACAAAATAACTTTAAGTAGTCTATGTGGTTATTAAAAATTATATTTAAATTTTAAAATTAATGAAAAAAATATATTAAATTTATTTTATTTTTTACCAAAAAATATATTATTATATATTTTAGAATTATATGTGTTATTTATGACTTACATGTGTTATATTATATTAGTTTTTATAACTTATATCATATAACTGCTTGAAATATAAATATATTAGTTGATAAATAATTTCATTTTTCTAATTAATATTAAAAATAATTTTATTATTGTTACAAAGATAAATATAAATTATTTTTTTATACATACAATATGGATATTACATCGAAATTCATCAAAAGAAGATTAATTTGATATATTACATATGTAAAATTGATAAAAAAATACAAAAGTTATTAACTTTTAAAATATATATACAATTCAATAATTATACTAAGTAATGATATTAAAATGCTATTAATACATTCAACATGACTATAGATAATCAACATATTTATGGTAACCCGAACTTAATTATTTTTAGTTTGGAATTAAATTAAAATTTACCAAGCCTAATAACGAAGCATGTAATTTTGCCACATAGGATTTCGAAGCACCAGAAACAGCCACGTAGGCTCAACGCGTTAATATAAAGGGGAGGGAATATTTAAAATCGTTTGTTTTAATTAACGGGTCAGCCCGTTTAGGCCTGCTTTTTGACATGCCTTTGAAATAACAGCCCAACCCGCCTATTACATGGGTCGGCGTGCCTGACCATTTTGAGAAGCCTAGGCCCAAATTCCTTTTTGGTTGGACTAAAACGGTTTTTACATTTTCTGGTTAGTGGCCCAAAACAAGATAATTTTGGTTGTTAGATACGAGTAAAATACACTTAAATTAAATAAATACTTTTGGATACGAGTAAAATGTACTTAATTAAATAAATACTTTAAGCGTAAAAGAATATAAGATATTTTATTAATATATATTTATCTCACTTAGAATGGATTGGAAATTCTATATGTAAAGAATAAATGTAAACAACAATTCTAAGCGAGAACATTAAAATATCTATTGAAATTGTCGTTGGAATTCTATTGAAATATATTTTCATATGAATTTTTCATCGAAAATTCATTACTTTTTTGTAGTGTTGATTCCTCTATATGTTGTGAAAGTGATTAGGGACCACAATGCCTCACACAACATGAAACAAATACGCACAATTACGAAATATAATTATATTAGAGTAAATTATAATTTTAGTCATGTATGTTTAATTACTTTAACTTTTTCATCCTCTTCGAATTGTGTTTTTGATTTTTGTCCCGTATGTTTGAAAAAATATTACAGAAAGGTCATGCAAAAAAATGTTCCAATTTCATCCTTTATGTATGAAAAGGACCACTATGTAATCTTATACGGGACAAAAATAAAAAACGCAATTCGTAGAGGACGAAAAAGTTAAAATAGTAAAACATACATGACTAAAATTATAATTTACTCTTATATTATGTTATTTTTTTCCCCTCGGTTAGACACCCCAACTAATATTAAAAAAAAAAAAAGAAAAAAAAGAAAAAGAAAACTATTCTTTTTTTTTTTTCAGAAAAAGAAAACTATTCATTTTAATGACTTGGTCCTTAACATCCAGCATTTCATATTATTTTCATCCTACACTTTCTACAACAACGATTATGAGTCAGTCCAGCGATAAATGGGCCCAATCCAGGCTGTCCAGAATATGTCAAAACTTACACAGAAAGAAAACCAGAGGCCCAATTTTCTTAAGGCCCACCCAAATCCTATACCCTTTTTAATTGATAAAAAAAAATTATCTCCTTCACCTATAAATCTACTTTTATTTGTACACTAGTACAACACCCGTGTATTACATGGGTGCTTGTTAATAAATTATATTTAAATTTTAAAATTAATGAGAAAACTATATTAAATTTAGTTTATTTTTTTTACCAAAAAAATATATTATTATATATTTTAGAATGATATGTGTTACTTATGACTTACATGTGTTATATTATATTAGTTTTTATAACTTATATCATTTAACTACTTGAAATATAAATATATTAGTTGATAATAATTTTATTTTTCTAATTAATATTAAAAATAATTTTATTATTGTTATAAAGATAAATATAAATTATTTTTTCTATACATACAATATGGATGTTAAATCGAAGCTCATCAAAAGAAGATTAATTTGATATATTACATATGTAAAACTGATAAAAAATACAAAAGTTATTAACTTTTAAAATATATATATATACAATTCAATAGTTATAATAAGGAATGATATTAAGATGCAATTAATACATTTAACATGACCATAAATAATCAACATATTTATAGTAATCCGAACCTAATTATTTTTGGTTTGGAATTAAATTGAAATTTACCCAAGCCTAATAACGAAGCATGTAATTTTGCCACATAGGATTCCGAAGCACCAGAAGCAGCCACGTAAACTCAGCGCGTTCTGGATTAATATATAGGGGGATATATAGGGGGATTATAATTTTTTTTTACTACAAATATATTGACTCTTACTATTTACAAATTATTAAATCTTCGGTTTATTTCTATTATTAATTTCTAAATTGAATTATTTTTTTTAATTTATAATTCATTTCCAAGACTCAACCTCAACACGCTTTTAAATTTCAATAAAACATTAAAATATTAATAAATCCGTTCCCATCATTGATTTATTCAAAAAAAAAATAAAAATAAATAAAAAATAATTGCAGAATTCAACGACCGACCACTGTTGCTTCCCTCATTTATTATAGATCCATTTCTCTTCTTTCTATTTTTCCTGCGATCTATCTGGTAATTTATGCTCCTCTCTTCTTCTCTCTCCAAAAATCCCCAATTTCTGTGTTTTTCTTCATTTTTTTTTTTTTTTG